GACAGGGCAGCAGGGCAGGGAGACCCGCGGTGAGAGGAGCAAGGATGGGGAATGTGCAGGATTATTTCCTGTTGTTCCCAATCCCCGTGCCTGCTTCAGGGGTGTCTGTCACCCTCCTGCAGTACTTGGGTGGTGCTGTGAAAGGAAGTGAGGGGATCAGGAAGTGAGTTATGCCCTCTCTGTGGAAGCCCTTAAGGAAGAAGAGGGCAGCTGTGGGTCTGGGGGCTGCAGCGTGCATGTAGGCATCAGTGCCAAGGACCCCGGAGGTCCCAGGGAGGTCCCCTGAGGAGCACAGACCCAAGGGCTAAGAGCTGGAGGACAACTTGGCACAGACGTAATAGCCCCTCCCTCCCACAGGCTGGAAATGCCAAGAGGCAGGGAAAACATTGATGCTTGCTGCCAGCAGCCCCTTCCAGCACCGTGCCCACACCCAGAGCCAGTTCCCTAATGGATGTGAGCAAACATCCCTCACCTTCTCCCCTCACCCCGAATGGACATGGACTCTAAAACCCCATGACCTCTAATGTCTCTCTCTGCTCCTCCGTTTTTCAGGGGCGTCTCCTGCCTCCTGCTACACACCCACCTTGGCTGTGAACTCACCCAGGCTGCGCACAGACCCACTCCTTCCTGGAAGGGAAACCAAGAGACGACTCATCCTATGCCTCTCGTACAGTCAGGAATTCCAAGTGTTAACATTGATGTTTTGGAGTCAGGAGACTCAACGCATGGAGGTGGTTTGGGAAACCAAATGCGTGAGTGGAAACAGTGAGGCCTCCGGGGAGAAAAGTTAGTTGCTGTTAGTTGGGGTAAGTGCCCAAAAAGGAGAGCTCTTTGGCGCTGGGACTGCTGATTGAACACCTGAATTTGTACAGCATTTTTTTTATTTTTTATTTTTTATTTTTTTTTAATTGAGGAATTGGGGGGAGGGGAACAGCGTTGGGGAATCAGGGAAGGGGAACAGACAGGTAGACAAATTGCTGTTTTTTTGTTCTTCAGTCTAGTTGTGGAGGACATCGCTTCACTGGCCCATGTTGGTATGATCATTGTGCTCTTCCCGGGTGAGGCAATCAGTCGCCGGTCATTGGTCGGCTGCTTATAGTGGCTCCTGGCAGCTCACGCTGGCTGCCAGCCACTCACGTAGCTCACAGCAGCCCACTGCAGCTCCACTGCAGCCTATGCCTTCGCGGACGACTCACAGCAGCCCAGCTCCAGGTCGAGCTATTATTCACCCTCTTCGCTGTAGAGTGCGCAGCGTCACTGGCCCTCATGTGGGATCCGAACCGCAGCCCTGCTGCTCAGAGCTGGCGTCCCAAGCCAGCTCTTAACCAACGTGCCACTCGGCCGGCCCATTTGAGGCATTATGTATGAGGTGTCCTTTCTCTCTATGCCCCCTACTTCCCCAGTGGCCTCTGCCTTTGCTCCCAGGACGGCTGTGGTTGGAATGACCTTGAACAAGGGTGTAAGACAGCATAGCCTCGCTAGGCACTGCCTGTGCACAGGGGAGGCCCCCACCCCTCAGGGCCCCAGAAGAGCCCAGAGCAGAGGGGAGGCCAAGGGTGGGGGAAGGGGAAGGCAGGAGCTGTGCTGGCTCAGCTCTTTCAGGTGGAGTGGAGACTGCGAGTGGGGTGGAGGCCCTCACGTGTTTCCATGGACTTCTGCAGGACGACTCCCAAACAAAGGGCAGCAAAGGAGGAGGGCAGTCCTCCGACGCCAGTCTCCCTCAGGGGGACAAGCTGCCCCTTGCCCCTCTGCAGAAGGGGTGCAGAGGGGCTGAGGGAGCCGCTGCGGTCCACATGGGCCAGGCAGCCAGGATGAGGACACTGCAGAGAGACCATCAGGATTGGGGGACCCCGGTGGAGACAGCCTAGAGCGGGCCCCACCCTGCGAGGGCCCCTTGGAGGGGAAGGCCCGCCTGAGATGGGTCGTGCTGGGCTACGGGCATCCTAAGTAGGAGGTCTGCAGCTCTGGGGGGCTGAGATTCGGGTCTAGGGGAGAACTCTGAGGAAGGATGGGTTGATGACAGACCCAAATACAGCTGCGTCTGAACCCACATTGAGCTAGAATTCCCCTACTGAGCAGTTAAGCTGTTTGCTGCCATTCAGGGCTCTGAGTCTGAAAATCACAAGGAGCTATTGAAACAAATTGGACTTTTTTTGGTATATTTTTGATACATCTGTATAATTCATACCTGCTAGTTATACATACGTAACTAACATGCATCCTAATTGGACACGAGTATATGAGTGTGTGAGGTGTGATTATAAGACAGCTTTTCAATGTTTTTTTTTAAACTAATCTACGGATATCGTCTAACATACTCAAAAGTAGAGATCACAGAGTTATGGACTCGTGTATCAGCGAGGGTTTCAACAAAAGACAGATGTAGTCTAATTAGGATAATTTGAGGGAGGTTTAAAGTTATGGCTGGGGTGTGGGAACCTCTTAGGAACAGAGCAGTCCAAGGGGACAGTGCCAGGGGCTGTCACCAACCTGAGGCCCAGAGCCACCGGGAGAGAAAGTGGCTCCTGGGACCCTGGCAGAGAGTGTGGGGAAGGGACACTGACTGGGAGGGCAAACAAGTACGTGTTGGAGCCCCCGCTTTTGACTCCCTTGGGTATATAGCTGGGAGTCGAACTGCTGGGTCATGTGGTACCACCTTCCATAGTGGCTGCACCGTTTTATATTCCCACTGGCAGTGCAGTTCCAGTTGTACACAGGGTCCCATTTCTCCTTGTCTGCCTCAGCGTGTTATTTTCCGGGTTTGGGGTTTTTTTGTCTTTTGAGGGTCTTTTGGTCTTTTGAGGGTCTTTCTTGACATCCTAATGGATATCAAGTGATATGTAATTGTGGTTGTGATTTGCATTTCCCTCAAGAGTAACGATGCTGGGATCTTTTCATGTGCTTATTGGCTACTTGTGTATCTTCTTTGAAAAAAAATGTTTATGCAAGTCCTTTGTTCATTTTTGAATTGGGTTGATTTTGTTATTGTTGTTGAGTTGTAGTTCTTTATATATTCTGGATTTGACCCTTATCAGATACAGGATCTGGAAATACTTTCTCCCCTTCCAGGGGTTGGCTGTCTTTTCATTCTCTTGATAGTGTCTTTTTTAAATTTGATTTTAATTTTTTTTTAGCTGAGCCATCCTGCTACCTGTTGGTAGCTCAGCAGCAGCTCAGCTCAGGCCTGGAATTGAACCAGCGACCCTGTTCCTCATAGCTCGCACTCTTGAGCGAGCTCTTAACCAACTGAGCCACTCAGCCAGTCCTTGATAGTGTCTTTGATGCACAACTTTTTAATTTTGATGAAGACCAGTTTGTCTATTTTGTTTCTTCTGTTGCTTGTGCTTTTGGTGTCATATAAGAGAAACCATCACCAAATCCAATGTCATGAAGAGCTTTCGTATGTGCTGGCGCCCCTCCCCCAGTGATGAAAAGCAGCAATCAGAACCTCCAAACCTGAGCTTTGGAGAACAAGGTCCTTATTGCCCACCCTGGCTCCAACAAGCCACACCAGGGACACGGGCTGCTGTCCCCACAGCTGACTGCCCCGGGGAATGGGGGATGAGGGATGGTGGCCACTACCAAGGAAAAGCTGAAGCTGACGAAAATTTACCAACCTCTCCTTCAAGCTCTCTCCTGCATGCTACAAATGTTCTACTAGACCTGGAGTTCCAAAGTCATTTATTCAGACAGCTCCTGCCAGTTCAATTGTTGCTTTGATAGAGGGATGGATTCCTGGAGCCTCCTATTCCATTTTCCCCTGACATCACTTTTTTTTTTTTTAAAGATTTTTATTGGGGAATTGGGGGGATGGGAACAGTGCTGGGGAATTGGGGAAAGGGGAACAGACAAGTTGCTGTTGTTTTTGTTCTTCAATCTAGTTGTGGAGGATGTTGCTTCACTGGCCCAAGTTGGCACCATCATTGCGCTCTTCCCTGGCGAGGCAGATCAGTCGCCGGCTTCTGGACGGCCGCTCACTGCGGCTGCTGGCCGCTCACGCTGGCTGCTGGCCGCTCACACTGGCTGCTGGCCACACACGGTAGCCCATGGCAATCCACTGCCACAGGGACTGCAGCCTACGCCGTCGCCAGCGACTCATAGGCAGCCCAGCTCCAGGTTGAGCTGTTGTTCAGCATCTTAGCTGTGGAGGGCAGTGTTACTGGCCCTCATATGTGGGATCCGAACCGGGGCCCTCTGGCATCCCAAGCGAGTTCTTAACCATCGCGCCACTCGGCCGGCCCCCCTGACATCACTTTTAAGTAACTAGACTTTTTTTTTTTTAGCTGAGCCATCCTGCTACCTGTTGGCAGCTCAGCGGCTGCTCAGCTCGGGCTGGACTCGAACCGCTGTTGCTCAGAGCTCAAACTCTTGAGCGAGCTCTTAACCAACTGAGCCACTTGGCCGGCCCTGTAACTAGACTTTTTGACCAGAATAAAACACTGGACATTTGAGCCCTAATGGAAGTTGCCCCCTTGAAAAAATTAACACCAGCAGGCAGTAACTGATTTCACGGATGGTGCCACATCACAAGTGGGCCTTTACACACCAATTCCCTTCTCCACAGCTGAGGTTCTGAGCCCCCTCACTCTGTCCAAGCCAAAGGCCCACTCTCATTCCATGCGCGGGCCAGCACGGGTGGCACTGCCATTAGTGGCTGCTTAGAACAGACCCCTGGTTCTATGGCAGTGCCAGGAAAATGTCTGTTGCTTCTGGAGGGGAGGAAAATACAGCTCATCTTCAGAACTGAATCAGAAAATTCTATTGCCTGGAGTTGAAATTTTTCTAAAAAACTGAAAACAATTTCCAAAAGGGTAGTTTGGGGGTCCATGATTGAGTTAATGTTTAAGTCCATTATAAGCCCCTACGTCTTTTGTGGACTTGCTTGGGAAACAAACCACCTCTTTTAACACTGGGGGTTCTACAGGTTTGCAGATTATTAAAGATTCCATTGTGAATCAATCTCCCAACATTAAATATCTTCATTCAAACAAGATAGAGTATTATTTTTTTAAACAAAATTTTTTAATTTTCTGCACTAATATTAATACAGCTGTAAACTCAAGGAATCGTCCAACACTCTGGGCAACAGTTAATAAGCACCTTCAGTGGTTTCCACAGTTTAAGAATTCACCATTAAAAAAATTTTTAGAATGAATCTAGTAAAATGAATAAAATAGTTATAAAAATTATACAAAATCATGACAAACATTTGATATAGAGAGCTTGATATGGAATGAATGATAAGTATAAAAAGAAAGTGAGACTAATTTATGGGTTGGGCTATATAAAGGACCCATGCGTTCCCCAAACCTTGTGATTCTCTTGGGGATATTTTGCTTCTCAAAACAAACTCCAATTATTCACCGAAAGGCTCTCTCCCTGCAGGTTCCAATGGGCTGCAGAAGTGGGGTTTGGGGGACTGAATGACTGAGGTTTGCAGATGAGGGGAGGGATCTCTTCCCTAGGAGAATTGGCCAATTCTTCCATGTCCTCAAGTATAAGTGTTCTTTGGCAAAATGTACCGTTTTCTCTTTGGAGTTACTGAGTTTTTCTCATCGCCACCATTAAATCACCTCCTCCACCTTCCTCTTGGGTTTTCCACTCCTGGTCCCGATCAATCTCTTTATGACACTTTCCACTGAATCTTCTCTACTTCCTTCCCCATCTTTACTGACTCAAACTCCTTATGTTCAACTTTCAATCCAAAATTTCTGTTTGAGGACTCTGGGAAGCAGTTGATAAATATATGACACTAGCTACTTATCTAGTCAGGAGCTGTTTTCTAAACAAATTGTAGAAACATAAGCATGAAATGTGGCAATGGTCCCTTTAATCATACCAATAAGCAGTAAAGGGTCTGGATCACTAGTATAAATATTCAATTTAGCCCTCCTGGATTGTGTCTTTGGATGAGAATACAGCCAGCAAGAGCCATGGTGGAAGGAGAAACAAGGCAGGAGCAAGCTCCTGGTTGACTGCAGACTAGATCTCATGAGTGGAGGCCAGAGGTGAGGGGCTTTGGAGGGCATCACTGGTACTGCCCCAGCCTGGGTCTCAGTGGGGTCTCCATGAGGAGGCTGGACACAGGTGCCAGCAGTGGGGCTACGCTGCCCAAGGCACCAGATGCTGGGATCCAGGAGCTTTGGGCAAAAAAGGAATAATTTGGTAATCTTTGGTGTAAGTTAAGGCACATCAAAAGAATCCCCATCCTCAAGCATCTGACTCCACAGTTTGATATTCCGACCAGTAGACACTCCCTTGACTTAAGCTTTTGGCTACCAAAGGCTGCTGCTGAAATTCCAATAAGTTACCTGGGAGAGGCTGCTCAGTATCACCCACCAAATACCCACATCCCTTGGGCAGGACGCCAGTGGTACAGAATTTGGGGGTAAGAAGCCAGGAGTATAAAGAGGGAAGTCAGAGCACCAGTAGGAAAGTATGGGAGGGTGAACCCCCTCCTCCACTTACAGCCTTGCTGACGTGGCCCTGGCTGGTGTGTGGAGTAGCTGACAGGACGGTGGGTACCTCAGAGAGAGGGTGAGCTCTTAAGGCCACGGGGAAAGGGGCAAGCTCAGGCCTAGGAGGGTCTGCTCACCATTGAGCTGCTAAGTTGGGAAACGGTTCCAGAGCACTGGGATGGGGTGTATAACCCTCCCTCGGGGCTGTATATACTTATCTGAGGGTTGGGGTTGGGGGCTGCTGTCTTTGTGTAGGGGTAGAGACACTCCCATTCCAGAATCTTGGGGTATATGTTTTGGGAAACAATGAGGGGAATACTGTCGAGGCTCAGGCTGGTGGCCACTCAGCCACCATGTCAGACAGTTCTCAGTCTGGACCCTTTCAAGGAGGGTTGTTGCTATGAAATACTTAAGAGAGGGAACGACACTCTTCTCATTTCTGCTCGATACAGTCAACTCCCAGCGTGTTGTCAGGGCAACGGCAGGTCCTGCTTCCTGGGGTGGCCAAGCAGAGGTGGGTGCAGCCACCATTGTTCACTGCACAGTAGTTGTGACCTGAAAAAGGCAGAAATCAGCTCAACAGCCCGCTAACGGCATGGCCTCCCTATTAACCCCCTTTTTGGTTTCTGGGAGGCCGCGCTGGTGGGAGCTCCGGGAGACAGGGACGGCTGCACCAGGCACTCAGCTGAGCTTATTTCCTGGCTGTTTCCTCATCGCTGGGGATTTGCCAGGAGGGCAAAAACCCCGATTCCCGATTTGGGGGCCCTGCACATTTGCCACTAATGCTATTAAACAGATTCAGGGAGGGCTGTCGTCCTGTTCTGATTGTAACATGGGAGTTGGATTTTTAAAGTACAAAGTACCTTTTATCTAGCTTGCCCACTGGCTTTGCACTTGACTGAGGGGTGGAGGGAAGCCGTGAGGGGCAGCAGGTTAGAGGCAGTCTTGGAGGGGCAGCACAGCACAGACTCTGGAGCTGGGTGGCCTAGACGCCCCTCTCTCTGCCACTGTGAGTGTGTGGCTTTGGGCAAATGGCTTCAGTTTGCTTATTTGTAAAATAGGCATCATAATATTGGGTTGTCGGAAAAGTCATAATGTACTTTTTCTATGTTTTTCATTGCAAAAACGCGTCATGACTTTTCCAACCATCCCAATAGTACTGCCTTACCGGGTTGCTATGAAGATAACATGAACTAATAAACACAAAGCACTTAGGAAAGTAAGTGAGAGAACCTATGTACAGTATCCAGCTCACAGTAAGCGCCACGTGCATTGCAATTTCTACAATTATCAATTAGCGTTATTGCCGTTAGGCCAATAATGGACTTTCAAAGCAGCAGGCATCCTGATGCTCACGTTCCTGGGCGGAGCCTAAAGACTGCATACTTCCAGACCCAGCCCTTTTCCTCACCCTCGTCCACTTCATCATTCCTTAATGTTTTCTATCGATTTATGTGGCTCTCCCACAAAATAGTGAAGACCCATGATGAAAGGGGCTGTGTCTCACCTGCCAGGTGATCAGGGCCCCTAGAGGCGGTACAGGTAACAGCCAGAGAGTGGGCTCTGAGCCCCAGGGTGGGTGCCCTCAGCCCCACAGTAAGAGCACAGGAGAGTTACCTGGCGGACACTGAGACAGGGCGGTGGTGATGCCATACAGCCGGGTCTGCTTGTGGGGGTGGAAGGTATCCATCTCTTTGTTAACAGCAAGACCTACAGCAACCACAGAATTCCTAGGGAGAAGCAAAGGGCAGAAGGTGAAACACGTCTGATGGCTCCAGCTTTCTCTCCAGAGCAGCCTCTTTCAGTGTTCAGGGCATGAACCGGAAGCTGTAAACAGACACACTGGCCTTGCTTCCTAGATACCCTACCTCCTCCTGGGCAGGACCAAGCCTGCATTTCTCTGTCTTCATAGAAAAGGACAAAGATCAGCTGGTCTCCCCTTCAGCACTAAATTCTAGGCTGGGAAATCTGCTTTCTGCACAGATGCCCCCTGCGCAGCAGCTCCTCGTGTAACCCTGCCTTGTGGTGGGAAGGGGTGGCCAAGAAGGGGCCGTGGCACACTGTAGTTTAAGAACAATAATGAAGTAGGGGGGTGGCACGGGCATGGAGCCCCCCAGCCAAGGGCCTGGGCCAGCTCCTGGACAAAGGGCAGACATGCTCAGAAAGCCCAAGTTTATAGACTTGAAGCTGCCCATCCTGCGGCTGCCACAGGATAAAAGTTGCCTCCCTCGACTTCACCCTCCTCCTGACAACGAGAAGGCCAAGGCCGAGGGGGCATCTCGGAGGCTGGAAGGTCAAGCCCAGAGGCAGATGGGAAGGGTATGGCCTCCCAGGGGCAGAGGGTGGCAGGGCAGGCCCCGCCCCCGCACTGCGGCAGCTGACGTACGTCTTCCAGTCTGTGTAATACAGATTCTTCCCGAAGCTCGTGACTGCGAAAGGATACTGGAGCCCTTCAAGAACCCTGCGTCTGCTGGGCTGACCAGGCTTCAGGCATTCCGCCCGGTTGGTGCCTGTGTGAGCAAGAACAAGCCGTTCATTGTCACACAAGAAATGGCCCTTTTGTGTCAAAGAACAAGGGTAATGAGGGCAAGGGTGAGAGACACTCGGCATTACAGTGACAGATCCTGGAGAACATGAGACTTGCTCCTCAAAACCGAAAAGCTGTCCCTTCTTTCTCTCGCTCTCTCGTTGGTCAATACCCACCTCCGTCGGGCACACAAACCTGCCTCTGCCGGGAGACGTGGGCGAAACAGAGGCGTACACTCGCTTCACCATTCATTCCCGGGGAAGCTAGGGCCACCTTCCAGCTCTTGCTCACGTCCCTCCTCCCTGAAGCCTCTCCAGACCCCCCTCCACGAATTCAGAGCCTAAGAACCGCTATATCGCACCTCAGTTTAGCAGCCATGCACAGCCCCACACCAGTGCCCACATCAGGATTGACTAAATCTTGCCTTTTCATTTGACCACGCATGCCTTACCCCTCATCCTCCCCAAGTGCAAGATGCAGTCCCAGCACCCCCCGCGGCACCTGACAGGGTCTGGACCACAGCAGGCACTCAATAGAGACTGGACAGATGGCGGACCTTCCTCCCCAAATCTGCACCCTGCCCACAACCTTTGCCCAAGGGACACCCCAAAACTGCCAGGGCAGGGGCACACGCCAGGGCAGCATTACTTTATCTCCCTTAGCTCCAAGTCCGGCCCAGCTCCTTGGGAACAAGTAGGGCTACAGGAATGTAAGTTGTGAATGGTCTAATAGATATCAGGCTCTGGGGTCTGTAAATTTTTTCTTAAATGGCCAGATAGTAATTATTTTTAGGTTTTGTGGGCCAAGAGGCAAAACTGAGGACATTATGTAGGCATTTATGCAATAATTTAAAATGTAATGTTTAAAAATGTAAAGCCCACTTCCAGCTCCTGGATCATACCACAGCAGGTGGCAGGCTGGACTGGCCCATGGACTGTAGTTTGCTGACCCCAGACTTAGAAGATTGAGAATTCTCCTCAGACAGTGTCAAACCCGGAGAAACAACATATTTCAGAGCAAATATAAGCAGCTATTTTTGTGCAGGAAAGAAAAACATTTATCCTATGCCCTCTCCCCGTAACCGGTCCTCTTGATGTACAGATTGGGCTAGCCCACAGTGGGTGACAATAATTGTTTGGCTATGAAAAAAAGCGCTGTTCCAACCCCAGGAGCACCTGCATCCACCCAGCAGAGCTGGGATGAGTAGGCGTCAAAGGTCAGCCCGTTGGGCAGGCCCAGGTCGTCCTGCACCAGGACCCTCCGGTGTGTGCCGTCCATGTAGGAAGTCTCAATCTTGGGGCTGTCTCTGTTCCAGTCTGTCCAATAAAGGTTCCTAGAGGAGGAAAATGAGGGGGAAAGAGGACGAGAAGTAATGAAGAAGCATGACAGAAAGCTTATTAATAAAACTTAGAACTTCTGATGAAGATGTTAGCAGACATGGAAACACAGCACGGCTAAAAGGGCCTGTAGGTCCTTTGCAAAGATACCGGGATTTGGTTCTTCACTTGAATTTTCTTATTCTGTTAACAATGAATTCATTTTCCCTAAACATAACTGACATATCTTAATAAAGCTGATATAAAAGAAAAAAACAGAACACCAAAACTGGCATAAACTTATGGGAATCCCCCATCTGCTGTCAGCACACAGCCAGCACAGTGGACCCAGGGCTGAGGCACAGAAACGGATGCTGGCAGAGGCACTTGCCAACGGAGAGGTGGCCGAGTGGCCACAGAACAGGATGTGGCCTGTTCATCAAAGTGTCAGGGAGCCCAGGGCCTGGTGTGTAAGATTCAGAGCTTGCAGTAAGGCAAAGGGAGAGAAAGCACTAGGGTGCTGATGAAACCATCGGAAGGGGTCTCCCAGATGTTCACACTGCGCGGCCTCTAGGCGGAGAGCCCCAGGGTACATTTGTGTGACCTTGATACTCTTCTGGGGTTGATACAACTCAGGTGTTCACCCACGGTCAACCCACATGGAAATACCCAATTTCTGGGTTGTCGATTTATAAATTCTTTTGGTAAAAGGTCTGAAAGTGGATCATGGTATCAAGTCCATGATCATGGGACTGTGAAGAATGTTCTGACATTTCACTGTGGATCTCTAAAAGCCACCAATTTAGATCATTCATTCTTATGCATCTGTTTCAGGAGAGCAAGGCTGGTGTTAGAGCCTCCCTTTTGAGAATACCCGGAAGGGCAGATGCAAGTACAACAGACGCACACACAGATTTACACCCAGATACCCTCTCAAGGAGTCTGTCACGATGCCTCTGGGATTCACCAAATCGGTGTCAAAGAGCACCCGGCGCTGGGTGCCATCCAGCTTTGCAACTTCTATTCGATCCAGGCGAGAATCTGTCCAGAAGAGGTTGCGGCCAAGATGGTCAATGGCAATGCCTTCTGGGCTTCCGAGGTCTAGATGCAAACACAGAACACAACTGAGTTTCGTAAGCAGGTAAGGTTCTGTTTTTCTGATTTCTCAGAGCTATTTCACATGGCGTCCAATCCTTGCACTTTGAGCAAACAAATAAGAGTGTGACACACTTGTTTATAAGAGAAGCAACACTCAAAGTGACAAATTAAGAAATGCCACTTGTTCACTTGGTGGACCAGCCACCTGTGCACCACACTGGGACCCAGTTCCACAAGGATGCCTCAGCTTTGGCCCCACCTGCAAGGAGCCCACATCCAATCAAACTCAACTGAGTTCTGCGTTCCTTGGGAGCATGGAGGAGGGACACTGGACTCAGCCTGGGGAGAGTGGGAAAGGATTCCTGGGGGAGGTGACATTTGTGAAGCTGGCTCCTGAAGGACCAATGGAGTTTGTCAGGCAAAGGTCCTATACCAGGGTTTTCCAGGTAGTGGGACCAGCCCATAGGTATAAAGAAAGACTGGACATGGCTTGACATGACCTGGGTGTAATTTTTTATGGCTGGAGACCATGGGGGTGGGGGAGTGGCCAGAGATGAAGTTAGGATGCCTGCGTTAATGCCCCACAGGCAAAAGGGAGAAATTAAGGTGAGGAATAGGACACACAGACTTACCATATTCATTAATTATTGGGGGGAAAGGTCATTTCAGAAAAATAATACATAAAGGAAATCATAGCTGTTTTACTTCTTTTTTTTCCCTTAGGGCTTTTTTTTTTTTTAAGATTTTATTGGGGAATCAGGGGAAGGGAACAGCGTTGGGGAATCGGGGAAGGGGAACAGACAAGTTGCTGTCCTTTTGTTCTTCATTCTAGTTGTGGAGGATGTTGCTTCACTGGCCCATGTTGGTATTGTGATCATTGCGCTCTTCCCAGGCGAGGCAGATCCATCACCAGACACTGGTGCCTCTTGGCAGCTCATGCTGGCTGCCGGCAGCTCGCGCTGGCTGCCAGCCACTCACGGTAGCTTATGGCAGCCCACTGCAGCCCCATTGCAGCCTACGCTGTCACCGGCAACTCACGGCAGCCCAGCTCCAGGTCGAGCTGTTGTTCACCATCTTAGCTGTAGAGGGCGCAGCATCACTGGCCCTCATGTGGGATCTGAACCGGGGCGCTGCTGCTCAGAGCTGGCGTCCCAAGCCAGCTCTTAACCAACGCGCCAACTCAGCCAGCCCCATAGCTGTTTTACTTTTAAAGAAGTATTAGGAGCACAAAGAAGGAATATCAGTGACCATCAGTAACACGCCCAGAAGTCTTTTCTAGGTTATAAGGGGCTGATTTCCAAGCCAGGGGGTGCCACAGGGTAAGGTGACCACAGTGCAGACCTTCCATGTCCACATAGCTAATCAGAAGGTCAAGGCTGTAATGGTTTCCTGACTGTAAATAAAACCAAATTAAAACCCCACCAGGGTTTTGCTGCTGTCCCTCAGGATTCTTTCCCCGTCACTGACTAGAGAATTGAAGGTCATTTATTACGGCTGGAAGGGAAGGGGGCTGCAGAGAAGCTTCCTACCCGAGGGGCCTGGAGTATGAGGAGATTGTCCAGTTCTGTTTTCTCGTCAGTATATGAGACAGTCAGACCTCAGTCCCCTCCAGACTGGCCTTTGCCAGGCTAACACAATCATGACTGTGGACGCTGGAAATGTCAAAGCCCCCAAAAGGACCCCGAGAGGAAGCTTATTAAGAATTAGAAACAGCCCTTGAACAAGATCTTTATTATTCAAACCCAGAGTAGAGATTTATAAAGTATGAAAGTATTTCCCACATCCTCAGAGGAGAAGGGACAGTGAGACAGACCTCCAAAGGCCTCCTTCTAACTTTCAGACAAAACCAGAAAAAGTCATCCTGGGGCACATTGTCAATGAGCACATTTTGTGTATGACATGAGCTACTCAGACACACAGAAAAGTAGACCCAGGGGAGCCCTGGAAGGGACTCCATGTCATGTTGTCTCCTATCAAACAGCCCTGGTTTTGACTTCAAACTCGAGGGCAACCAACCCTCCTCCCCTAATCAGGAAAATACTTCTGTGTGTGCTACAGGGCTAATGGGAGGGCCTGGAAATGCTATCCCTTACTATGAGGTCAGGGCAAGTAGCAAAAAACGGCAAGGCAATATGTCCAGGAAACAGATTATGATGCGCATTAAAGATATTTCGTTAGGACTTTAACTCAAGGAAGAAAAGAGGATCCCAGCATTCAGATTGGATTAAATAAAGAAGTCAAGAAAAGAAGAGATGTCCACTGCCATGTTCACTCACTAGGGTATGCCCACCAGTACCATGACTTAAGTGGAAGCTTCTTTCTCTCCTTTTAAGTTTAAAAAAAAAAAATCTATTCCCAGTGATCTTCCTTCTACAAAGATCACATTCTGGTTTACTTCTGTATTTTCACAGTGGGCTTCTGCCTGGAATGTTTCTTACTGTGCTTACAGCTTTCTGGGACGATTATCAGTTCCAGAAGCAACAGGAAATAGCTGCGGTGACCTGGTCCCCTCTTCCACTGGGTTTTGAAGTTAAACCATAGATAACAGTGACATTTTTATCAGAGAGATAAGATGCACAAAGGCATTTTCAAGCTTGTGTCCATTAACTCAAACCATGAAAACTAACAAACGTTATTTAATTCTCACTGCGTTGATTGATTTCAAGTTTGTTCTCCCAACTGTGTCAGAAATCCACAGAAAACAATTACAGTATTTATATTTTCAGTAAATACAGTTAAGATGCTTCATTTTATTAAAATAAATGATTACTTTAAAGTATAAACATTTCCCATTGTTATTCATTCTTGAAAAACACAAAAATAGAGAAAAAATGTGCATCTGCTTTCCTAAATTTCCTTTCTGGAGCACTGAGCTCATGGGGTAAAGCCGAACGTCACAGTCAGCGGCATGGGAATATCATTCGACTGTAGACGAACGTTGCAGTGAAGAGGTGAAATAGCACATCGGCTTTCAGACAAGGATGCGGGAGCTACGTCCAAAGCCAGACGTATTTATCTCAACCTCAGCTTAATTCCTGTGGCGCCATCTCTTGAGAGGAAGCCAAGGAAGGAAAAAATGCCCCAGGGGCTGTTCCACAGGCACAGGAACCTTCCGGAATATCAATTGTGAGGGAAACCTTAAACCAGAAATTGAAAAAGCTATATTCAGCCCCAAGTAAAAAGAAATACTAAATGAGGCTCATGTATTTTAAAGGTGTATCTTTGAGTGTTTTGCAGAGGAAGCAAGATGATTTTACAAAACAAACAACACGGGGCATGACAGTGTCTCTGGATGGAAAGGATCTGCAAGTCAGCTGGTGAGTCACTGACTTAGTGGGCGTGTAGCATTTGACCTGTTCAGTGCAGAGGAAATTTTTACGAGTCCTTGGAGTTTTGTTGCAATGGTCTTTAATCTTGATAAAACACATCCATGTCAAATAGTCTTGACTTGTTGAATGTAGGCATTAAAATAACGCTTCCAATCCTTAGCTTAAATCAGCATCCGTAAATTAAGGAATGGAGGTGGAATGTTGAGGGGTAGCCTGTGACAAAGCGTCCTGAACTTGACCATCAGTAATGTGACAGAGAGCTGAGGGATGTCTGTAAGAGTTCAGCCTGGTTTGCTGTACTATTCTGGAGGAGGTAGAGAAAAGGAGACCCCTCCACCCTCCGCGCCACACACACTAGATGTTACAGGGTGAAGTGACAACCCTTTAACTTGAAAACTGTCTTGGGAATAGACAACTATCAGGGACAATATTTGCCAAAATGCTTGTTACCCTCCCAACTGTAGGATTCCTCTGCCTGCTGCCTACGAGAAAACCCTAACAGAGCACAAGGTGGCAAACACTCCGAGAACAAATTCCAGGCTCAGCAGCCAGCGGGAAAAATGCATATCCCAACTGGATGGTTGACTTTGGCCTTTATTATCCATTAAACCTGGCTACATAAACTTTCAGGGACTTACCCTGTTTTAATTTTATTCTTCTTAGGCTAGCAACAAGTTCCAGCTAAGGTGTTTGTAATTTGATGAGTCCTTGGATGGCTCTTCAGAGAAGGCTGGAAAGGGTGCTATTTGAGGCCGAGGACCTAGTCTCTCTCAAGTCACCACATCCTGGGAGCAAACAAACACTCCGCCATCAGCTCTCCCCCAAGAGCTACTTGGTTTGCTAGAAGCAAAACCAAAAAGGAAGAATGGTATTTCCTTGCCTACCTTGTCGAATGATGGTGGTTGGCTCTCCACCATGCAGACTGGCTCTCCCAATGGAAGGCTCAGTGATGTCGGTCCAGTAAATCATCTTGTCCACACAGTCGAAGGCCAGTCCAATGATGACTTTATCCTGAAAGTGCAGACCAGTGGTAAGAGTGGTCCACCCACTAGCACCTGAGTGACCAGTGATAGTGGGAATCTTTCACGTACTTACAGGCATTTAGACACCTTTTTATATGACGGGTCTTCAAGTCTTTTGTCCATTTAAAATGTTTATTATTGAGTTGTTAGAGTTCTTTATATATTTCAGATAAAAATCTGTCATCATATACATATACATATGTGTATGTATGTATGCATATGTGTATGTATATTTCCTCTCAGTATGTAGCTTGCTTTTTAATTTTCTTAATGGTGTTTTTCAAGAGCAAAGTTTAAAATTTTTATTATGTCCAATGTATTATTTTTTCCCTTATGGCTTATGCTTTTTATATATCATCTAAGAAATCTTTGCCTATTGAGATCATTAAAAAATATGAGTCATAAATATCGGAAAGGAAGCGGTAAAACCACTCCATTCTAAGACAATATGATTGTTCATTTAGAAAATCCTGGGGAATCTTTAAAACTATTATAACTAATAATTGAATCTAGCAAGGTTGCAGGATATGAGGTCAATATAAAATTATATTTCTACTAGCAAAAACATAAAACTTCAAAACAATGTTTATAATAGCATCGGAAACAAAGTATATAAGAGCAAATATTTTTAAATGTGCAATATTCTATACAATACTATAAAACATTTCTGAATGAAATTAAAGAAGACCCAAATAAATGAAGAGATAAATTAGTTTAATGAACTGTAAGATTTAATATTGCTAAGATATCAATTCTCTCTGAGTTAAAGATTCAATGTAATCTTTATCAAAATCCCAGTAGGCTTACAAGAAACTTACAAGCTCATTCTAAAATGTATATGGAAATGCAAAGTGAGGCTCTGAGGATCATAGAAGTGGGGGACCAGGATGGTCTTTTACTGAGAAAATCAAGGTTATCAGCAGGCACTTCCCCCTCAAGAGGTCAGGTCAAAAGGACAGATCCTTACCCAAACCATATACAAGAATTAACTCAAAATAAATAAAAGACTTAAATATAAGAGGTAAAGCTTCTTCTAAAACTCTTAGAAGAAAATACATGGGGAAGCCATATAACATTAGATTTGGCAATAATTTCTTGGATATGACATCAAAAGCAAAAATAAATTGGAAATTTATTTGTGAATAAATTTATTTTAGAAATTAAAACTGTTTGTGAATAAAAGGACACAGTCAACACAGTGAAAAAGCAACCATGGAAGGGGAAAAATATTTGCAAATCATATATCTAATAAGGAGTCAGTATCTAGAATATATAAAAACTCCTACAACTCAACAACAAAACAACCCATTTGTTGGGTTATCGGAAAAGTCATGACGTATTTTTTCTGTTTTTAGTTGCAAAAATGCGTTATGACTTTTCCGACAACCCAATCCAAATGGACAACGGATATGAATGACATTTTTCCAAAGAAGATATACTAATGGTCCATAAGCACATGTAAAGATGCTAACATCACTAATCATTAGAGAAACACAAATCTAAACCACAATGAGATGCCATTTCACATCTATTGGGATGGCTACTATTAAAAAACAGAAGAGTACGTGTTGGCAAGATGGTAGAGAACTTGGAACCCCTGCGTTCTGCTGGTGGGAATGTAAAACGGTGCAGCTGCTAAGGAAAGGAAGTTCCTTTCATTCGGAGGTTCCTCAAAACATGAAAAATAGAATTACCATATGATTTAGCAATTCCACATCTGGTTTACATCCAAAAAAAAGTAAAAGTAGGTAGTCAGGCAAATATTTGTACACCCACATTCATAGCAGCATGATTCACAATAGCCAAAAGGTGGAAGCAACCCAAGTGTCCATTAATAGATGAATGGATAAAAAAAATGTAGGATATGCATATAATAGAATATTATTTGGCCTTAAAAAGGAAGGATATTCTGACACAGGCGACAACATGGATGAACCCTGAGGACATCATGCTGAATGAAATAAGCTGATCATAAAAGGACAAATACTGTATGGTTCCACATGAGATACCTAGAATAGAGACAGAAAACAGAAGGGTGGTTGTCAAGGGTTGGGGGGAGGAGGGGAAAGGGAGTTAGTGTTTAATGGGTATAAAATGTCAGTTTGGGAAGATGAAAAAGTTCTGAATATATACAGTGATAATGGCAGCACAACAATGTGAATGTACTTAACACCACTGACCTGTACACGTAAAAATGGTTAAAATGGTAAAAACAAACAAACAAATAAGGACATGTAGATATTTATCCTGTTGTGTCAGCACCCTCCCGCCCACCTCAATTTTCTGCTTTTCATAGCCTCGCTTGACATTTAGCCTCTGCCCTTGGTCTTGGGGGAAATGACTTTCACAAGGAACAAACCCGTTCCCACTCGCTGGCGGTGTGTGCTGGCGGATACAAGGGGAGAGCGATGGTCACCCCTTGGGGGAATTTATGCTTCATGAGGCACCAGGACAATGCCAAGATCACTTATGTTTGGTTCAGCAAATATTGTTTCAGTGCCAAGCACCGTTTTGGGTCTAGGAACACGCTGTGAAACAAACACTCCGGTTTCTTGTCTTGTGGTGCTTCTATCCTTGGTGGGAAGCTACGTATCTGGTACAGAACATACACACTGACCTAATGGATGCACGGGTGCTGAGTGCTGGGATGAGGGACAAAGAGGAAAAGGAGATAGAGAGCGGTGGAGGCTGTAAACTGGACAAGGCAGCTGGGACAGGCTTCTCTTAGAGGTGGTCTGCCTACGCCTTGCTTGTTTCTCCAGGTCATTGAAGTGTCACCAAGCGCAATGAGCCAGTACTCACCGGGACATGCAGCAAAGCCTTGGCTTCCGTCTTCTTCATGGTGCTTCCTTCCAGGGGGAGGCGTTCTATCTTCCCGGTCTGGGCAAAGAGTAAGTGGGTCCCGGGGGGCAGAGGGAGCACGGCGGGAGGAACTGAGGGTCCGTGGTGAATTGGGGGAGCCACTGTACTCAGACCTAGGTGGCAAGAGATGCCAATGAGCAAGGCCTGCATGCATCAGGAATGCACATATGCACACACGCACGCACGCAAGCACCTCACGCCAGATCACATCACCTTCCTGGTACCACAGATAATGCAGGGCTGAGTGTAGCAGGGCTGAGTCAAGAGGGAAAAAAGGCTTAGAGTCCTCCTTTCTAGACACAGGAGTGACCTCACTATGCATGCCTGCTCTGGACACAGGCCACAGCCACGAACCCACACAACGTCAACACAGCTGCCCTGAAAGCCCTGCCCACAGGGAGCTTGCGGCAGTGGCAGACTGCTGAACTCTGTAATGTCGAGGAGAGACTGTCACAGTGAACTTGCCGACAAGCCCTGTCCCAGGGGTGGGAGGTCGCAGGCCCACAGCAGCGATGTGCCCCTGTGGGCTTTCAAGAACATGTGACAGTCAAGGGCTGATTCTCCCTTAGATTTAGCCTTGCCTCCTAACTGCTGACCTTGATGCCAGGCATGGCTCCCTGCCTCACATGACAAGAGACTGCCCCACGAGGGGACGGGCAGCCCGTGTGGCAGAGTAAGAGGCACAGAACAGGTGTCAGGAAACTTGGATCCCGCTGCCACAGCTATTGCAGAACCAGCTGCAGAAACCTCTGTGGCTATTTGCTCCTTGCTTCCTAAATGACCTGGTGCCCAAAGGGCACAGGGCACAACTGTGAAGGAGGCGAGTGTACCAGCGGGGAACAGTTCCCACTGCCTGAGTCAGCAAGGCCCCAGGGCGGGGCCTCGGTTGGTCCCTACCATCTCTGCCATATCCCAGTGCAGAGAAGCTGGGAAGCCAGGCCACCACTGCAGGGGGCTCACTCAGGGGACCCAGAGCACCCACACCCTCTCTGCTATTAACTGCAGCATTGGTGCAGTAGCGGCCGCCGGTTATTTGCATAGACCAGGAAGGGAAGGGGGTAAGAGGAAAGAGAGGGTGAGAAAGGAGACATGGAGAGGAGTGGGGTGAATGCCAAGGGAGACAGAGAAGGGTGCAGAGGGGAGAAAGGGAGTTCGGGGTTCGAGCCAGTGGAGCTCTCAGGATTTAGGGCAGCAGAAAGCGCCAGCAGGGTCCCCCAGCGATGCTCACAGGTGTTGGGGACTCTGGTCCCCAGGGGCCTTTCTCAGTCCCAAGCCCAAGCACGCACTGCCCCCCAACTTACAGGGAGGCCTCATCCCAGGCCTGGTCCTGGTGCCCTCCAGCTCACGGCCGTCTCGGTCCACACACCAGCAGTAGCCAGTGCTGCCGTGGCACTGGGTGGGCACATAGTGCCCATGCTCGTCACACTCGGGAACAAACAGCCCTGGTAGCTGGGGTCGTTGTGAGTCTGCCACCCCCGCCGTCCCGAGGATGTGTTCTCGCTCGAGCTGGCAGCGGGTTTTCTCCACTTCTGTTAGAGAGACAAGCAAGGGGAGCTTTATGTCATTATCGGGGGGCCATGCTACAACCCAGCTCAGAGCTACCCAGTCATCACTGGGTTTTGATTAATTTTTTAAAATTTAAAACATCATTTTATTCAAAGGATTTAATGGTCAGGAAGATTATATTTACTTTTTTTTTTTCCTCTCCTAGGCAATGTTTTTTCAGTTTTTAAAAGACTGAGGCAAAACTGACATGACATAAAATTAACCCTCTTAAAGCGGACAATTCAGTGGCATTTGGCACAGTCACTATGCTGTGTGACCACCATGTCTACTTCCAGCACATTTTCCTCACCTCGAAGGAAACCCCACGCCCACTGAGCAGTAGGTCCTATTCCCCCTGCCTCCCAGCCCCTGGCAACCCCCAATCTGCCTTCTGTGGATTTACGTATTCTGGACGTTTCCTATAAATAGAGTCACACAACATGTGAGCTTTTGTGTCTGGCTGCTTTCACGCAGCAGAATGTTTTCAAGGTTACCGTAATTCAGGTTGTAGCCATATTATTATACTTCGTTCCTTTTTATGACTGAATGACATTCTATTGTACTGCTGTACCATGTGTGTTTATCCATTCATGAGTTGATGGACAGTACCAAGCTTTGTTTTAAACTTAAAAATTGTTTTTAAGTTTTCCCTAAAGTTGTCCTTTTTTATCATTCGAGCTTCTTGATTACCCGCATTGAGTCAAGGTCAAAGATTTAAAGACCACTTACCAACATGTGTGTGTTTCCCTTTAATGATGCACTCATGTTTGGCATGAAATATGGCCTCTTAACTGCATAACTCAGATCCCAAAGCAGGAAATACTTCTGTATCTGTGGGGAATTGCTGATAACAAGCTATGGCCTGGAATAACAACTCCCCGATGCGAGGCAGAGCTGTAGCTGGTTCCATACTAGAGTCCAGCCACCCACCACAAGGGCCAGGCCAGTGGTGCCATCACCTCTGACTACACCAAGTGGTGCCTGACACCGGTGGGGACATCACTGACTGCCAAGAGCTACACTTAGCCAGACTGAACCATGTCGGTTGCATTTCTCTTCCAGGGCTTTCCATGTGCTGTTCATTGAGTGAGGGAGGGGTTTAATCCTCCAAACTCGGCTCAGGCATTTCCTCCCTCAAGACCCTCCAGGCTGGGCAGTGCTCCCAGGGAGCACTGAGCTCCTCCACCCTATAGCTCTCAGGGCACAGACACTGACTGTCCCTTGTCTGTCTCCCTGAGCAGATTCTAGGCTCTGAGAGCAGCAAGTGGCTGCATCTCCTTAACCTGGACTCAGTGGGTGGGAATGAAGGATGTATGTGAAAAAGCCCCCAGGGCCTGCCCTCAGGGGCTCGCAGTCTAGAGGGAAGGGAACAAATGAACAGTTCCAGTCCAAGGAGCAGGCATCTTGACAGAAGGGCCCAGGATACAACAGACAATGCAGAGACCCACTCCGCAGGGCTCGAGAGCAAAGGAGGGCCTAAGTGATGTCTTTGACCTTCACTGGAAGATCATGGTTACACAGACCTAGGTAGGGCTCCACTGACTTTTCCTGTTAAGGGGTAGAGAGTCAGTACTTTTTGCTTTGTGGGTCATGTGGTCTCTGTTACAACTACTCAACTTTGCAGTTGTGGCATGAAAGCAACCAAGTTTAATACATAAATGAACGAGTATTCCAATAAAACTTTATTTATAAAAACAGACAGTGGGCCAGATTTGTCCTGTGGGGATTGTAGTTGTCTACCCCTGCTCTAGGGCATCATATTTATGTTAAGGGGGAGTTTTATGTAAATATGCTAATTCATATATTTACATGTGTTAATAGATTAGTGTGTCACTATTATATTGTAATAATAGAAATATATAATACTATGCTATGTACCTCACAGAATGTTTTATCTGAAAATGGTTTGAATGCCCAGTTCTACCACTCCTGGCGTTATCTGGGGCTGTGCCCCCTCAGCTGCAGGACAGCAATGACAGCAGGAACTAACCTCACAGTAATACTTGGAGGAGCAAGTGGGATATGACAAGACAACACGCGCAGGTGGACCCTTAAGTTCTGCACTCATTTGCAACATTAAGGTCTGCACAGGCCTCCACAGTGACATGCAGGGCATGTTATCCATAAATGTTTGAAGTACTTTTTGTCTGTGTTCCTAGTTCTCATGTTCGTCTGAGGAACATGGTTGTTCCCTGGACTTGCCGTGATTTCTCAGCGTGCCAGAAAAGTGCTGAGGAACCTGTCAAGGGGACACTGGGAATGCTTTCTCTCTTGTCCCAAAGGTTGATATTAAAAAAAACAAAAAAAGAAAAAAAGAAAAAAAAGAAAAAAATCCCCAAACATATTTGATGTAGGAAGAGCCAAACAAAGATAGAAACAAGCCATCTGGTTGAGAATAGAGATGTTGGTTTTTTTTCCCTCTTGGACGTAGAACTTGTTTACTTCCTCAATATCTTACATTTGTACAGGGTTTTAGAGTTTCCACATAAGCTGTCTCCATTCACGTTTCACTTAATTTTCACTATAATCCTATGCAACAAGCAACGATGCTCTTTACGCCCAAATTAGAGAGCTGAAACGCAGATTGGTGAAGGGGCTCCCCCAGACCACAGTAAATGGATCAGCTCAGGCTAGAACTGGGGTCTTTGGATTCCTAGCCCCTCCCCCTGACCCTCTGCACCCACATACCCAGCGCCCAGGCTGGCTCACGCACACTGAACATGTTACGTCAATGGTGATACACGGACGTTAGCAAAACACACTCGTCAAAATAATCCATCAATATCTGTCTACGGTGCTGCCTTCCAACTAACAGACAGCCTGGTGTTCTGGGTACTGTCAACCAAATCAAACTTTCAAGGGAGTAGGGGTTGCTCCGTCGTATGTGGCCAATAATGCTTTATGTTAACATGGTATTTGGTCAACATACAAAATCTCAAGTGCTCTTGAATATACAGTGAAACTTTAAAAAAAATTTTTTTATTGGGGAACAGTGTGTTTGTTTTTCCAGGACCCACCAGCTCCAAGTCAGGTAGTTGTTTCAATCTAGTTGTGGAGGACGCAACTCAATGGTCCATATGGGGATAGAACCGGCAGCCTTGGTGTTATGAGCATTGTGCTCCAATCAACTGAGCTAACCAACCTTCCCCTACAGTGGAACTTTTAAGTGCTGGATCTTGAACTTATACAAAGAAATGAAAAACCTCAATTGTGACTCGGAAAGCCGAATTTCAAGAATGTTTATGGAAAGCTGTGACATCATTGGGTTTCCTGGGATGGCTTCTCAGCCTAGATCTCAGGCAGTGGGGGCAGCTCCAGTGGGAGCCCGAGGTCACATGGGGAATTTTCCAGTAAGGGCCTGGTGGGTGGGGTGGGGATGAGGCAATAAAGACACTTTTCCTGGCCTTGTTTCTGGGTGATAAAATGGTAACTCATGCAAGGTTCTTTTTACTTATCTAGTTTAACCTGCTCAGGAGAGAAGCATTCAAGACCTGATACTTATCTGAGGAACAGCAGGGAGTCTGGGGTGAATTTTCTCAAGGTTGGGGACAATGGAGAGGAAAATAAAACAGAAGAATTCAGAAAAATACATTTTCAATCTCTTGATTTGCATCCCATTCCCTTGCCTGATTACACTTCTTTGTGTTAATTTAAATAAATAACCCTCATAGCCTCTGATCTACTCATGAGGGAGGTGCCATTGGTTCAGCCTCTTCCTGCACAGTCCGCTCCGCTAGGTGCCGGCTGCTCCGAGTGGCACTTCCACGAATGCACACCTCAGAGGAGCCAACACGGGAGTGGTGAACGATGCCTGGGCTCTGTGGGTCTGAGACTTTCTGGCTCACGGCCTCATCTCATCAGCTGCAGATGGACACTGATTAGTCCACGGTTGCCAAATTTCCAAGAATGGGACTTTACCAGCGAAGGAGATCATGTCAGTCGAATGTAGTCTTTATCCTTATGTTCCTAGGGGTTTACTAAGAACATCCCCCCTGCACCCTAATAATGATGATGATAAAGGAATCTCTCTCAAAGTCCCTTTCCAACACTGACCCCCAATCCTGACAGGACAGAGAAGGAAGGAGAGTGCCCAGAGTGGAGGAAATGAAGTAGCAACTAGAAAAGAGGGGAAGGGAGGGAAAGCAGAAAGTCATGAAACCACAGGAAGAGAAAATGCTCCTCCAGTCTGCTGCCATCTCGTCTCACCTCATGTGAAATGCGTCCTTGGGTTTTCCTTGCCCCTGCCTCCTGGGGTCCCTCCCTGCATCAGTCCTCTCTCCTGACACACTGCTAGTTATAGGCTTTAAAAATCACTATATTCGTGATTATTTCTCAGATCAGAAACCCCATGGCCCCTTGAATCAGGAATACATTTGTGTCATAAGCATTTGCTGAAACCTGCCGTGAGCAGGTGCCCTGCCGGCAGCAGGGGTCAGAGCTGGTAGCAGAGCCCTGGGAGTCCCCAAGGCCCCATCAGCAGTGTGAGCAGCTGGCAGGGTCTGAACAGAGAGCAGAGAGGAGGGCACCTAATCCGCTTCCACCAAGGGCTCATGTGACCCCAAGGGGTATAAATCTGTGTCCCTCACAGGCACAGCTTTGTGGTTGAGCCCAGTGGCTGGGGGTAGGGCTGACGGACTTAAGGCTGGAGGTTTTTAGGCTGTGAGTGGAGGAAGGAGGAGATGCTAAGAGGTTCAGGGTATTGGTGATGGCACTTGACACTTGCTCCCTGGGGTTCAGGGTGACAGGCCTTGGAGAAAAAGATGGGAGGGGGGAGCTGACAGGGTCAGCAATGATGACAACACTGCTTTGAAAACCAGGAGAGAGCTGGGAGGCAGGGAGTGGTGGGCAGGGCCATGGGCCTCATAACTGAAGTTCTCAAGCCTTGGGAGCCTGGTTTTAGGGCTCTTCCACAGCCCAACCTCCCCGTGGCTGCCTAGTGGCCTCGCCTCATGATCCCACCCCGTCTCCTGTTCCAATCCTACCC